TTAGGAAGCTTTTCTGTGTTTGATTTATTTTTAAATCTTTAATCCTATTGTTCCCTTTTTAGCAACTTTTAAGCAACCAGACTAATTGCTTCCATCATGCATAAAACAGAGGCTCTTTCATACAAGTTTTATTACAGAAGATGATCTCTCTCCAGTGAAACTTGACATCTTAAGTTTCACACAAGATGAACCAACTGAATTTAAACAAAGATAGGTCAATGATGTCTGAAAATTCCTACCCATATAATGCAGCTATACATGACATTCTGAAGGAATTAATCTTCAACTCTAATACCTGCTATTTGCAGGATCTTCAGCAGTGATATTTGTAATAAGTAAAAGCTATAAGTACTGCTAAATAATTTTACTCATTTAGGCTACATCTTTCTAAAAACTACAGACATACTTTCAATAGCATGTCATTAGCATCAAGAAAATCATGACAGCCATTCTCAGGAATACCAGAATGAACACCTGGTAGAAACCAAAACCAACAACCGGGGATTTGAATACACAAAAGATCATCTCCTTCCTCACTGCCAGTGATCATGAGTGGGAATACTAGAACTGAAGAAGGGGCAGAGGCAGCTGATGAAGTCCCAGTCAGTTACACTATCTTCTGTGAAGGTATGAACTTTTTAAGGGCATACTGTGAAATTTATCAATAACTCATAACCCTAGAAAAGAATTGCATCTTGGTATTTCAGCTTCTAGAATTAGTCGCTGTAGTTGCCACACAGTTCTTACTAAACTGAAAATAGCTCTATTACAAGTGTTGAATAGCATCTGAAAAACAAGTATCAATTTTTGGTTTTCTTCTCATAATTTTATTAGACTTGTCTCTCTTAAAACCAATAACAAAGAAAACTAGGGTGCTTCTCAAATAACTTGCCAGCTGCTGAACATCCACTGTCAGGTGATTAAGTATTTACATTTAATTCAGTCTCAGGTTAAGACTGACTCAACTCAGTGGAGCTCAGGATGACCACTCATCATTCTGCTCCTAATACTTACAGTATTAGTAAGTAATAGGGAGTAACAGGGAGAAATCTACAATTAAAGATCTTTGAAGAATAAGTAGAGACATTATAATAATTAGCATGCCTTCAGTACTTTTATGTTCAAAACCTCAAAGCTTAATTGCTACAGGTCAGAATTAAACTAGAATGAAGCATGATGAAGTATGCAGTAGGTCACACCTGCACTTTTTATTTATTTACTTTTTAATGTTTGTAACCAACTCTGGCACAAGAGCTTGTGCTTCTGCCCTGTCTGTGCACTGATGAAGATGGGGCAGAAGAGTAATTCATGGATGTGCACTCAGCTGAGGTCCTCAGAAACCTTGCACCTTTGGGAGCAGTCCCAATCTGGGAGAAACAAACAGAAAGAAGTAAGGGAAGAAGTTGAGCGACTACTTGGGTATCCTGGACAGGGTTTCAAGAGGGCGGGAACAACTGAAAAATTAGAAGCACTCTCTCTAAGACATTTTTTTACATCCTACTTCACCAATAAGAATCCATTCAGAATTATGGAACTACAGGGTTGGCCTTGACTGACAGGAACAAAATAAACATTTCTTCTTTCACAGCTAAGTTGACTACTGCATTTAAAAAGACACCTCACCTTTGGAAGTCCACAAGGCATTTTTGTCAAGAATTTTCAGAAGTTGGACTTGAGCTGATCTTGAACTATTAACTCTGTAAAATCATCATAGTCTAGTCTTAAATATTAGGTCAAGTAGCAAAACATAAAAAAGATTAAGATTTAGGTATACAGTCATTAAGCACAAGTTTGACAGTTACTTGAGTTTAAAGGTTTAATCTCATGAGGAGTTTGTCTTCTTTCACTCAAGAGCGGCTGTCCCCATCAGATTCTTGTAAGATTTCATTTTAACTTGAACCTTCAAAACCCCTGCTAAAATTTGGGCCCAGTGACAGAGGCCAGAATTTATACTCTACCAACTCGTTTAACCAGACTTTTCAGTAACTGCAGCTAAAGATTTACCTCTGACAGTTTTCAGTGATGCAGACACCTTGTGTGAAGCAAGTACAAGCTCTTCTGAATTTGAAATAAAGCAAACCACAGCAAAAGAATTTAACGATGCAAATAAAAAACATGAACCAAGGTATTTTTCTTACAGATTTTATGTACCACCTCGTATCTTTCAATTTTACATGTGAAATAGTCTCTGCAATAAAGTTTCAAACATTCAAGATTGTTCTTTGCATTTGCATTCTGATTGAAAAATTTTAAAAATTTTGATTAAAACCAACACAGTAAGTCAGTCTAGATGCATGGCCTGTCGCTGTGTACTACCTACAAATGAATCTTGCTTGATTAAATCTCATTATTCTCAAACTTGCCCTCTATGATAGCATCACCACTGAGAAGAATGACCTACAGACACACCAATGACAGCTGAACAATGGGTTCCATGTTACCCACTGGATCACAGTTCCATAACGAAACCATCTTTATCTTTGTCAAGTTCATGAACTCCACTTAAACAACTTTAAGTATGAAGTGATTTGTTTTCAATCGCAGAACTGCTGTGTTGTCTTAGGGCAAAACCAAACCAAAGAAGGTAAACTAACACAACTGCTACTGAAGTACACAGCTGTTCAGCAAACGAAAGCACAACTGCCATCTCTTGAAAAACAAAAAATCAGTCAAGTAACAAATTAGAAACAGGGAATATGACATTTGGGGAGTCCAGTTTGTAGTACATTTTTCCACAAATTAGCTGAACTACTTGGCCAACAGTTTCTTCAGGCAGGGATTTTAACTTTCATGAACACATTGCTCTAATAAAGTACTTAGCATTAGTTATGGCTTTTGAATTAAAATGTATTCATGACAATAAATTTTAAAATCACTAAGCCATTACTTTTGATCAGGGCTTTTTTTTTTTTTGTCTGTATAGTGTTTGCAAGAATTAGCAACCAAGTGCATATTTCACCAGCAAAAGAATGAAAGCTGTACTAATAAAACTTACTTTTGCAGGTCTCTGCAGAGAATGGTAGTATTTTATACCCTGACTGCATATCAAATGAATGCCAAAACCAAATTTGCTGTTCCGATAGAGGCTTATCTGTCACATTTAATGTACCAGTTCGATTTATGATCACGGGCAACTTAACGCACAATCTGCTATCTACATTTTCTTCTGTATTCAGAAATAAAAAGGTTTACAGCATTGCAGAACAGTTCTATAAATTGTCTAGCTCAAGCACTGACTTTAGTACCTATTTGTGAAAGTATTTTCCTACAAAAATTTCCAGGTAATAACTAAACAGCTGAGCCTACTCAGTTGAGGCTGCTCATCTGCAGTTTATTCAGGTATGCAAGTCGTGTGGTTGCCCTATTTTACCTAAAAAATTCCCCCCTTTGCCTGCTTTGTTCAGGGTAGCATTCAGAAAGCTCAAACGGTATAAATCATAGGCATTTTAGTTTTTAGTATAAAATTGTTACTTCAGACATACCTCCTGGCCCCTATAACCTTGCTACTAAAAGAAATAATCACCTGCTGCCAGTAAGGGAGCCCAATAACAGACTTCAAAACAGCTTTCATCTTGTTATATCTTGTTTCATCTCATTCACCTTGTACTTATGAAGGAGTGTGGAGTTATGACAGTTAAAATGTTTAATAGAAACAACCAATTTGATAACCAATTCCAATGCTAGTAACATTCTACTGTTAATAAAGTACAGTCAGTGAAATAGCTCAGTTTTAGTTATGCGTTTTAATTGAGTGCAATCTACATGCTCTATACACCTCTAAGTAGTGCATCCAATTCACTCAACAAGGAGAATGCAGCTCACTAAAACAGATGTCTGATCCTCCAGCTTCCTCAGTTCTTTGTTCCTTTATTACTTTACATTAACTTGTAGATAAATGAAGCATAAGTGTCTGAAATTCCAGCTCTGTTGGAAAATGCTGTTGTATGGCTAAATTTTAAAGTCCGAGTAGTTTCATAACCTATGTGCAGTTATTTATGAAGGCAGCAGGAATGCTATTCTGACAACCTAATTAAACTTCCAATAATGTGAGCAGGAATCTGATTGCAAAATGGCTCATTTTATAAACATCAGTGCTTTTATGACTGACAAAAATATGCACTATCAGGTGCCAACTCCTTCACAAATACATGTTTTACAACTTGTACTGTAAACTGGTTGCAAGTAAAAATTCCATGATTTTAAAGGTCTACCCTCAATCCATAAAAAATGGCACAGTTCATGCAAAGATGTCATTGATTTTGTTCTTCTGCCAGTTTCACATCCATGTAACTTCACTAGTTTCAGAGAAGTTACTCCCAGTATATACATAAATTTGTATCTAAATCAAGCCATCACCTGTATACAATAATTGAGGTTAGATTACACGTGTTTAAAACACAAGTGAAATACAGGACAGAAAAAACATAACTGGACCTTGCCTGAAGACCACTATACAGTCTGTATGCTACAGTGTACACGAAACACACATTTCTTCAGAATTTGCTTTAAAAGTTTGCTGCCCACTGCAGAAGTCTCTCGAAAACTGCACGGGCCCTGAAGTGCTGAATAAGCCTGGGTAAAAAAAAAAACAAAACAAACCCACAACAAACCCCAAACACATTTCTAATAGGAAACGCTTGAGAGTTAAAACCCCATACATGATATCCCGCTATTTAAAGCGGTAATGAACCCTAAATTGAACCACTTCCTCATAGTTGTGATTGCTGTGCTGAAAACCATTACAGCTTTTCTAATTATAGCACAGGTTAAAACAAAGTACTGAATGTTTTAGTTCACTCATGTATGACATGGATACATTTATAATGAGTTTAAGGACTGGAGAAAAAGTCATTTGGTACTGACCAACTGCTCACACAAATAGGAGTCCTTCTAGCACTTCTGTACTGCCTGTTCTTCCCAGTCACTTCACAGAATCCATTTAAAAAGCCAGTGCCAACTTCTAATCTTGGAGTCACTGAAATTTTTTGTTTGGAGATTCGGGTTTTTTTTTACATTTCTATTAAGACCACTTAAAAACAGCAGTCTCGATACAGCAGGGATGGAAATACATAATTAAAAGCCAGACCTCACAGTCCTCAGATTTCAGAAACAGTTCTAAAAATCTCTTAGGGAGATGTGCCTTCTGATTTTATTAAAAATGAAGGTAACATCAAAAAGCAAAACTAAAGAAGAATAGCATAGAACATTTTACTTTTGTCAAACCTTAAACATAAAGTATATTAAGAAAACATGGTCTGGAACTTTAAGAACAGGAATATAAACATGTATTTTGTGTTGCAGAAAAAATTCATGAGGGTGTTACAGTATTTGATCTTTCTCTACATCCACTGGTATGCCACACCAAAGTAACATTATTAAATAGATACAGAGATACCATAAATTCATACAAATACCAGGGTCTTCTGGCCTTATACTGCAGATCAAGCAAATTGTTCTTTGGTAACTGGAGTAGGTTCATTTTCCATTCCAATGCAGGACTGTTAGAAGGCCATATTAGCCACTCATCTCAGAAAACTGCAACTCCTGTAAACATAGCCTGGGCTACTTTTGTCGCAAGAAGATAATATTAGAGGTGGTATTAAGAGATATAAATGCAAAGAAGTTAAAATTATTCATTCCTTGTGGTGGCTGTTTCAGGAGAAAAAAAAAAATCCAAACTCTCTCCTTCTCTATTCACTGTTTAATCTAGGTAACATTTAGACTCATATGTAAAGGCATTTTGATAGATGGGAATGTACACATGCACACTTCCAGTTTAAATAAAGAGACCTGTGTGGAGAATGGCAATTTAAAATTAACATGACTTGAAGGTATTCCTATAATGAAGCTTAAAGATTTAGTAAACAGGGACATTACAAACCCAAAAAAGTCTTTCTAGATTTTTCATCTTCCCTTTTTCAACAAAGACTGACAGAATATACATATACAGGTTGACATGTTGATTTATCCAAAACAATTTTCACTTTGCTCAATTCTTAAGTCCTATTGACTAAAATGTAATATAATTCACAACAAAAATCTTTCAGTAAGTGAAACAATATGCAAAGAAAACCAAAACTAAGCTCAGAAGCTAAGTGGTTTAGAAAGCCTGGTAACATTTATGTGTGCGTAAGTGTGCCTGATTTGTTTTATACATTATATATATAGACACACACACACACATATATATACACACACGTGTGCACACGCGCACACGCACACACACACACACACATTTTTAACCTGCAGTGAAGATTGATCTATTTTCTAATAAGGAACAAAACACATCATTTAAAAATGTGGCTAATTTAACAAAACGGAGAAGAAACTGCTGCTATCAAAATATACAATTTGGATTGCAGACTAGAGGCTAACAACATTAAAAAAATAGTTTTAAGCAAAACCCCTTTGCTTCTGAAGAATAACAGGTATCAACCTGCCATAGCATGAAGCATCCAAACAAGATTTTATAAAAAGTTTAAACTGTGACCCTTCCTTGTCTGTAAAGTTCTTGACATATCATATAGTGCGAGCTCTGGTCTCCAAACTGGAGCCCCTTTCATTTTTCTCAATCCATACTTCAGGAAATAAATGGCAGCTGGAGGATTCAGAATCTCAAGTGAGATTTGTGCTTTACCATATACCTGAAAAAAATCAACAGAAAACAAAATTACTATTCTTTCACTATTTATAGAAATTTTACTCCAAGGAACAATATGCCCAGACTTTATTAAAACAAAACTCTTAAGAGAATTGGCAAGTGGCCAAAGAGATACAATGTGTAATTTATATGCCATAGAGGTCTGTATTAAACACAATATTTGGCCCACTGAAAGTCAGCTAAAATGTTTGTTTTGAAGAAAATGCGTGTTTACCAAGGCATCACATGACTTCTAGTATTGGAAGACTGTTGTTAACTGTAGTTCATTCTGGCATTCAGAAATACGGTTTAGATGAGACTTAAATAAGAAGCCATAGAATGTTTGATGGTTGGAATTATTTTGACAATTCCTATAGGATTTTCCTTTTTGAAGTTCACTCAATCATTCCAGCAGTTTGCTGTGCAATCAGCATGAAAAGATTAAACATTCATGAAATGCAGCGGCTTCTCCTTTCCCTCAATATTTCTTCAACTGCTTCACAATAAGAAAGTTTTCTTCTCTATAACATAAAAAGGTATTGCGATGAACTTCCTATTCTGAGAGGGTTCTGAACCACAAAGAAGTAGAGTCAGAAACAATGCTGCTTTTCACAGACTTGCTGGTGCCACTCCATCCCTTGCTTCTCACGAAAGGCAGGGGTAAGTACTTGGAAGACTGTCATCTAGTAAGATGTAAAGAGGATGGAGGAGAGCTTTTAAGCTCAGAACTGCAGTCCAAGAGGAGGGCTGGGGGAGCTCTACATCAACTAGCTTGTTCTCTAGTCCTTTCCTTCTGTTTAAAGGGACATGGGGAATCACGGTACTAATCACTGATTAAAAGTAACTACCCTTCCTTAAAATCCATGCATATTACACTTTGGAGATTTTTACTTACTGCTCGTAATAAAGTATAGTGGTGTATATTTAACTGTATTGTCAAGGAAAATTTAAACAAGCAGTATTTTCAAGCTAAAACATTGTTCGATGTTCAAGTTGTACACAATTCCCTTGCTGCCATAGCTTTTCATTCTCAACGAACATGAGTATACAGGATTTTGAACAGGAAACATACCTGTCCAAAGTTTCCCAGAAGCGTAGAAATACTGGCCTATCCAAGTGTCTTTTGTGGTAGCTTAGTTCTAACACTGTTACATCCCATTTCTGTACATTTGGATCCAGACGCACTTCGTCATATTTGAGATGAAAAGCTTTAACTATAGGAAACAGGAAAACATTTAGTAAACAAACATGATGACTCTGCAGTGTTTCATTATTAATCAAAAATGATTCCAACCACATTGCTCTTTTTTCAGAAGAGAGCTGGAGAAGAAACTTAATGAGCCCATCATCTCCCAAGAAAGTTGACTAGTTAATAAAGGGAACTGAGCTAAATATACTGGTTAGTGCCCAATATCAGGCTCTCCTGATATTACAGGTTTAAGTTAAAGGGCAGCCCCTATTTTTAGATGCATAGATTCCAGAAGAACAGCAAAATCTCATTGCCAATTCAAGCACATCTTCCTTGGGAAACAAAGATGATCCTTCTGAAAAACTTTAATGTGTCCAAGAGTTAAGAAAAACGAAAAAACAAAAGGCATTTCTGAGATCAGTAAGGAGGAAGCATGGCTATTTCACAAAAGCCTGTTTAGAAGACTGTTAGCAGAATGCCAGTATAATTCCCAAATGCTACATGAAACACTGTGAGAAATTTTATAGCTGCCACTTTCCCCTGATCTATTGATTACTCAGGTTAAAAATGGTAAAATATTAACAGTTATTTTGCTCTTGGGAAGTACTGTCACATGTGAATTATGTAAAGCCCAAGCATTAACACAGTGAGTATTAAAATCTTCTTGCAATTCCTCTTCATTTCCTTAGCCAAATAATAGTTTTGACATAATCCATTGCAAAGTATTTAAGTCTCGTACAGCTCCTATCTGGTAACCCATTAGATGCATTTTCTATTTTGGTTATTACTGGAGAAGTAAAGCAGAAGCATAGAACCAAGCTAGTGGAAACTAGCTATTTTTAAAGCCATGGTCAGACATTTTTCTTGTACTACACTATTTTTAGTTTCGCAAAATTCACCTTCAATTTTAGCCAAATCGCTGAAATAAATAATAATTAGACAAACAAACAAAACTCCCCAAACCCCACAAAAACCTTAGTTCCTTTTTCCAGATACAGGTAGATATGCAATGATATACCTACAAGCTTTCTAGAATGGTATCTGAAATCAGCTTGCTGTTTTTTTCCTATTAACTCAAGAAGTGATCATCTGTCTTGTGCCACTGCCACATAAATTTCCAAGTTTTGTGAAAAAAACCTATGCATACGTATCATTTACCTTTGCTAAATGATGCTGCATGTTTTAAAATAACTCTGGAGAAAGGAAGATATACTGGGGCTATGCATTTACCGAAAACTTAATCGACACCTGACGATTAAGAGCCTCTGCATTAAGGTTAAATGGTACACAGCAGAAGACAATCCAATTCTGCATCTGAAATAAATCAGTATTAAAGTGCACTAACTTTATTATTATATATATTTATTATTATTATTAGTGCACTAAGTTCTCTAGGAGCAAGACCTTTAGAATGGTATCCAAAATTAAATATATGTTCTTGTTGTAAAGCTTTAATCATTTTAATTTCTGATTAAAGGGACATCACTTAAAATTTTATCTCAAACACTGACTTGTAAACGCAAAAATAAGCTTGCTTGCAATGTGAACATTAAACACTTAGACCATGTGTAAAGAAAACTAAGGAGAACAATTTTAAAGACTCAACTAACAAAATGCTAAGTGGCATATCAACTGAACAAATAAAACCACTTTGGCAGGCTCTGGTCCAATACAAATTGAGGAATTGCTTATGGTAAGCTACCTGCTTGCTTTCCAAAACAACAGCAATAAGCTATTTGTTAATATTTTATTAATATTTGTTAATCACTACAGACTCAGTGACTTAAATGAAGAAATGTAAACTGCTGATCTCAGAAACACCCATTTATGAAGACTACCAAAGACTATAAATATGGGTAAAGCGATAGCTTCAAGAAGAGGTAAACATGCACAACCAGACTGACGTTGCCTGTGCTCTCTCTCTTTACACTGTTTTATTTTGAGGAGTGAGCGAAGTCATTAGGAAAAGTCCCACAGATACTTTTATCAGCAAAGTACCTCACAAATACCTCACTGTGAAACAACAGAATACACTTCTTAAATTAAAAAGGTCCATTTCAATGCATCTTCATGAGCTAAATAAGAAATGATACTCTTCTTTCACTTAAAAAATGTAAGAATTTGCACACCTTCAGGCTGAACTACGCAGGCTATGATTTTCATCTTATGGCATAGTGAAGACTTAGAAAAATGTCAAAGCATGTCATAATAATTCCTGTGGAACTCTATACATATATATACAAATACAGAAAGTTAAAACTAATAGGTACTAGCATGCAAATAACTACCAAGACCTGAAAGAGTTTATAGCATTTTTCTTGGCTTGGTTTTCACAACTACCATTTTCTCTATCTCTTGATTTTGAAGTGTTACTTTCTTCTTTCATTAATCTCTTCTGTTAAACTGTCTCTGGTGGTATACTTTTACTTAACATTCACTTTCAGGCTCTTTCACACTCTCCCTGCTCATTCTCATTACCCCCCTAAGCAACTCATTCTATTTCCTTGTTCATAGATACATCCTTCGCCTTCCATCCAACACTTTTGTTTCCTCCTTACCAAACTACCATTCTCTTTTGAGCTTCTACTTCACATACCAAGTAGGTGCACAACATAAAACTTGATGAAACTAATTTCCTCATCACTGACTAGAAGATGAGAGACTGAAATAAGGTGTTTTTTGGGTTTGGGGTGGTCGCTTTTTTATTTTATTTTCTGTGTATGCATTAATTTGCTTGGGTTTTGTTTGGTTTACTGGGGATTTTTTGTTTTAGCTCAGAAAACAGCAGACACTATAAAAAGGTCTATTTTTTAAGGCAGCTTCACAATGAAGCAACAGAACAGAAGCTGACAGTTTCTTTAGATGTTATTGCACACCTTGCAGTCAGAAGAGTGAACTGAGTGAGTAAAGTGCAGCGTATCTCAAGGTATATTGTGTGTAATTGTGATAACTCAAAAAAAACCTGTTCAGATCTACAGTGGTAACATCCAGCTCACAATTTAAAAGTATTTGTATCTTATTAAACTTTCACATTTTTGTCAGACACCATATCATATTTGTAAAGCCTTTTGAGTGAGATACTAGGTGATTAATCCTCTGTTCAAATTTGCAATGAAATCTGAGAACAGACTGTAAACCTGTTACCTATGAGGTGTTATACATTGTATTTTCACAGTTTTATAGAATCTTAGAAAGCTATTTCTGAACCTCTTGTAGAGATGACAGCTTTGAGAAGATTTCTGTGAGCTTCCACAAGTCAGAATAATAGAATTGCTGAGGGCACATCTGCCACTGGTGCAGAGACCTAAGCCCCATCTTCTCAACCAGCAGCTCTTTGACAAGATGTTGCCATAAGCATAAACACCCCACAGAAAAACCCAAATTGAGTAACAAACCCCAAAACACTTAAAACCAGAACAAAATTCCCCCTTACTTTTTGCAAAGATATCAACAGGTGATCCGTCAGGCAAGAGCCAAGGCCAGCCTTTGAACTGCCAAGCAGGACCCTGTACAAACACTGCCACCACACGATCCCTATGAACACACAAAGAGATGGATGTGCTGATGGCCTTCAACATTTAAATTACACACTCTCTTAACCAGACAATATATTATAGCATAATTTCTTATTTTAGTAACAGCAGTATAGCACATATAACCACCATACCTCCAGCACAGCTGTTAAGAAAAGAAAGATTAATGTGACTTTTCTAGACTTACAGCTCCATCCCTTCGCAGAATGCAGCTCAGTTTCTCATGATGCATTTATAAGAGGTCAAATCATGTTTATTCCTGGTCATTACAACCTGGGTCTTAAAACGTGCTCCAACATTTTTGAGGTAATCTTCTATGAACAAGAGTGTAAACTGAGATGTGTCAATTTAAAAGCCTTTATTCTGAATAATGTGAACTACTTCTCTAAAAATTTATTAGAAGAGACAACTGCTAAATTTCTGCAAAGAGCATCATTTATTGTAAGAGTATGTAACTGTTACCTGCTGTCTGAGAAAATAAATCTCTGAAGATGAAGCTTTTATATTAAAAAAAAATAAAAAAGAAAACACCTTTAAGAAAAAACGATCTCCCATATAGGAACTGTCTTTTTCTTGAACATTTACATAATCCAACCAAGGTCCCTAGCTACTAAAATAAATGGTTACCTCCCTAATCTCAAAATTTAATTCATCATAAAATTACCAAATCTCAAAGGGAAAAGAATGATGAAGGTGGAGTTTAGGGGTTTTTTGTTTGGTTTGGGGATTATTTTTTTTTTAAGACAGACTAAAGGTTTGCCATTTAAAATGATGCTGCAGGCTTTGCAATGGCTAACAGAAAAAAAAAAACCTATCCCAAAAAACCTCCAAACAGCACAGCAGCAACATGGTAATTTCTAGATATTTATACCTAATTCTCCCTTGGATAAAATCAAGCTGAAAACCCACACCACTTCATCTCTTTGGTCAGAAGCACTTTAGGAACCATTAAAGACAGTTCTTAAACTGTTTAATGATCAAACCTTTAAATGCTGTCTGCCCTTTAGAATTCCAAAACCATGGATTTCTGATAAGTTCAAGTTCTCAATACACAGAACAATTAATTTAGGAACAGGACCTTTTCAAACTATTCCTCATTATTCAAACCTAATTTGGAAGTTACAAACCCCCCCAGAATGTCAAAGTGCATGCCCAAAATCTTCACACTTGGCAGGAAGAAATAAAAATGTTACCTCATTCATTACATTAAACAACAAAAGTCTTTTCTCCAGAATTTTCCTGCTCAACGGGAAAAACGTTTTTATAGCATTGAAGAACTGGTTACAGACAAAACAATCTGCTTCCGGCTTTTTCTTAAAAAAGCTACCTATGATTCCCTTTCCCCAACTAGCGCTCTCCCTTCAGAAGGAGATTCCACCATTGAATCCAATTCAATAAATCTGATTCAATGCTGAAATCAAAGTTCAGCTTTTACTGTCTGATGCATTTTCTTTCTTGAACTACTAAAGAAGTTAAAATGTCAGATGCTGAAAGCCTGCAAACATATCTTCCCAATAGAGTCTTATCCAGAAAGCAGACAAGAAAAGGAGGATTTTTCCTCTCAGTTCACATTTCAGCAACTTGCATACTACAGTATCACAAACTAGAAGTTAATATAAATATTTTGCGTGACACGGTTTAGCGTGAAGTGTCCTTGCCCATGGGAGGGGGGGTGGAACTAGATGATCTTATGGCCCTTTCGAACCCTAACCATTCTATGATTCTATTCCTGTTTGAATTTCTGGCACATTTCCAGCAAACCTAGTAAGATTAGTTGTGCTAGTCATACTGTTAAAATAGGAAGTGTTGGAATTTCTTAAGACATTTACGTTTAGTTTCATATTATTTTAACCTGAAGAAAAGACTCACATACGGTTAAGAGACAGATGCATTGCTATATCCATATAGTCACTTTTTAGTAAATTTAGTAGCATTTTATTGGTCCCCCTGAATTCTCCTGTTTAAGAAATTTTGTAAAAGGGGAATTTATTTTACCAGTCTTGTGGCATAAGTTTCAGAGGTTGGTCTACTACTCGATAAGGTACAGTAACGCTGACTGTAGTTCCCCCAGGCTGTATCTGGTCCTTCCTTCTCTGTATTAGAGTTTCATTCTCTCGCTGACAGCCTTGTTTTTTCTTTTCATCTGATGGTACAAACCTTGGGGAATAAAGAAACAGTCAGTAGACAAAAGCAATTTATTTGATGTAATCAGCAGGAAAAGCAACACGTTTATCAAACTTTGCATTACTGCCAAAGGTCACTAAAGCAATCTCATTTTCACTATGCCAAGCCTCCATCATTGCACATTCAGAAGAATGAACACAATAATATTTCATATGCCAAGATTATAAAATCAGTCATACTAAAAGGTCTTCTGCTCCTCAAAACTATGTCTGACCTGTTCTTACGCATTTGGGGTACTCTCTGCAGGCCTTACCCAATAAATTTGCAAATAATCAGCCAGAACACAATCTCCTAAATGGCCATAACTCATTCTTTTTAGTGACCAAGGGTAACATGGGAAAGCTTTGGCACTAAGAAACAATTGATTCTAGGAGCAAACGTTGGAGTTCTTGCTCTTGTAACCACCAGAATTATGTTCTCTCAAGAAAGACAGGGTTTTCTGACAAAAAGATTTTTCAGTGAGGTTTTATTTTTTTGGATGATGGTACATTATCAATCACTCATTTGTTTACCAAGTTGCATGATACTACAATGCTGGATTTATTATTTTTTCTAAATAGCTTCTCTGGTAGTTAAGTGCTCAAAAAATAAGGATAACATGATCCTCATGTCTTATGAAATCTCTGCATGACAAAAAGAAATGCTTAAAATGGAACCCCCCAAAATGAATTATGGATCTTTTATCTTTCAGCACCAAACTTAAAAAAACAAATGCAATTCCATTTCAAGAGTCACTTTTTTTATTGCAATAGTAAAATAAAATACACAGAACAGTTCTCAAAATTGGCATCATAAATGTGAGAGTAGCGTAAACCTTTTTACTGATGAATCTCTGTGGATTTTATCAAAAGGAAAGATAACAAAATCATGCATTTTATAGGACTAAAATTATGTCACAGATAAGAAGGTAAAGTGATGTGACCAGTATCACCTACTAGATTAGCAGAGAAGCAGGATTCAGACCCATGTTCTCCTAATACTCTATTCAGAACCGCCCAGCTGCACTACTGTTTGCCACTGACATTTAATTTCCAAAACTGCTGATACAAATAAACACTACGTTTGACTTAACTGCAAAAGTCACCAGTATTACTGCTACATTTTAAAAGCACAATACTCTACATAATCGTTAAGATTTCTCTTCATTATAGTACAGATGCTGCTTCTTAAAAGTTTACTACATTTTTTAGTTGTTTGTACCATTTCTATTTTTTTTCACCTATTTCTATAACCTATTTTAATACTAAAAACCAATTTGAATGTGCTTGAACAGGCAGACCACACTTCCTATCGCTGGAAAAAGAGATGAAAGGAATGAAAAATTAAGTATGAAAAAAAAACATGCATTACTCAGAGAACTTGAACATAGTTGGTTTTGCCAGCATTTCTGGAGGAAAACCCCAAGCAAACATGTTTTAAGGCAGCACTTGGAAACTGTTGATAAATTTTCAAGCAAAACTATTTTCCTTTCCTAATGAATATAAACAAATGAAGCCCCCTTATAGTCTTCATGATTTAACAGTCTTTCAAAAACAGAACGTCACAACCAATTTGAGGCCCAAGTCCAAATGCGTACAGCTGCACTGGAAAATGTAAACAAAACAAAACCAACAAACAACCTGCAAATGACTATAAACTGCACATTAAAGTTGGCTAGCACTGTAAATACAGAAAAAGCATTACAAATGCTGGAGGATAAGCTATCACTTAAATTATGCTTATCTGTGTCGTACATGTGTAACACCACCACTCTACAGAAAATACAGACAAAAAGGCTTGTACAGGATACACTGGGAAAAGTACACTTTGGTCACCTAGAATACTATTTATGAAAATGTTAAAAAAATACTTTTAAAAGCTAAGTCACTTCACTAGTACTTGAAGTAATCAGAAAACAGCTTTACTTTGGTAGAAGCTACCAAACACAGCCTCAGAATTAAGTATTTCTAGTCAAGTTGCCAATTTAAAAACTCAAAAGTGAGGTGCAGCTTTAATCATGAACATGCATAATGGCCTGCCCTGCCAGCATGCTGCAGGCTTTGCTTTGCCAGTAACAACTGATATGAATCTGTATTTTGTAACTAAAAATAAGGATTTGCTTGGTGGTCTTGAGCTTTTAAGAAAACCATTCATAAGTGTGTCCTCAGCAATCACAACTAGGGAATTGGGGCTGGAAAACGAATTTTATTCTTTTTCGTAACTTTAAAAGTTACAAACACCCTAACTTTCTCCTAACCACCTTTTACCCAAGTGGCAAGGTCTATATGAAAAGCCAAGATCACCTAGAATGGCGGAGAGCTAAAGAAGAATCGTTCTTTTATTACCTGTCCCATGCACTAAATGAGAACAAACTCTTACAGAATATGTAAATAAAAACCAAACAGCCATACATACATTACTGTGATAACTGAATATTCATCTGAATGAACAACAGCCTAAAAGGTCACATTTTAAATTTAATTTGTAAATGTGATGAAGCAAACACATTTTAAATGGAAACAGGAAACCTAGCCATGCCTGCCATGTTAGACAAGAAGCAATGGTGCTATTCTACAGAGCCTAACAATTTCACCACTCTACGTGAGACCCCTCAAATTTGGCTGAAACAGGCTTTCTCAGTTCTACTTCTACCTTTAAATATTTCTATGTTTATGAATTCATTTCAACAGTAGCTGATTCAGAGTTTCTCTCCATTTCAGCTAGAAAGGGTGTTACAGCCATTAAGGCACCATTCAGTTGTCCAGCAGGTACATAGCTGAGGCACAACAGTTTCAGTTTTACCTACTGTAAATGGTTCTGAGCACATTTCTTAAGGACAGAACATGAAATGTCTTATCTGAATTTTCTGAAGAAAAAAAAAAAAATCAATAAGCAGATTCACATGGAACAGTAGAGAAGATGACTGTCATAACAAAGGCATTGAAAGAAATGCTTACAAATAGGCAAACACACAGACTACACAAATAAATGACAGTTTAAAGAAGTTTATAAACTATATGCTTGCATTTCTGGGAACCATCCATTCAGTAAGCATAATAAAAGCCATGTGCTCAGAAACTGAGAATCAATAAAATTATTGTATGATTAAAAATATAATCATGGCTTGCTCCATCACTACCTAAACATAGAAGTCAAGCTTAAAAAAAAGTCTGAGTATTAAAGAAAAAAACAAAAACCTCATCTTCTCTTGGGAATTCTCTGCCACAATGCTATATGGATGGCTTAACTACACAATTGTACTTGACACCTTTTTAATCACCCAAATCACTAGAAATGTGTTCTGAAACCCAGCTGTGCGGGAGCTTATTTTTTTAATGACTTCTCATATTACTATTTCCAGTAAAAAAAAATTAATTTTTATACCCCAACTAGGAAACTAATAGCACTCAATTCTCTTGCTGTTAATTGACAAAATCATTATCCACATAAAACCCGGTGCACTCTCACTTTATAAAGACAGCAGGTCCCTTTCCTAAGGTAATAGGCAAGTGATTGACTAAAATCAAATTATGGGAGATAAGTAGTAAGATACTAAGCACTGAACTGTGCGAATTACTCATGTCTAGGCTCTAAATGCACACCGGTTGCTAGCAATAACTTTGACACATTTTTACTGAAGTCAGGTCAGTATTTTCTAGCCCCTAACTCAGGCATAGTGAAAAAAGCAGGAAAAGAGAATAAGGCAACTCCAACGCTGGAAAGTAACAGAGATCACTGTAACATCCGTAGGATTGTGTTTAGAACTAGGACTTATTTTTACAACCCTCTCAATATTTTTGTTACATTACAGTACCAAAGGCTTCATACAACTGTTTTTGCAAGAGAACAAAGCTTCTTTCTATAATACAGCATCCCTGAATCTATCAGATAGTTTGCTCATTATCAAAGCCGCGTAAATCTCAGTGAGTTGCCTGACCACATACGGTGAAGCACATCATGACTGAAAACATCATCATAATAAAAATACATAATCATCTAATCTTTTACATCTGCCTGATATAATTGCTGTCTCACTTTTGTTCCATGGAAAGGAGAAGTCTTGCCTGATAAGCCTAACGTATATGCTCAAATACTTCATCTGGAAAGCCAAATTTTACACAGTAATTATCTAGTGCTGCATTCAGGGATAAAAGAATAAAGTGTATTATATGAAATATTTTTCAGAGGATTCACAATACACTACAAGATATTGCAGTTCTGATTTTAAAATAAATTATATCTTTTTAATATTTTAGAAAAATCTCCATTTTCATCTTGTACTTTGCTCCCTAGAAAACCAGCCTTTAAAAAAAATGGCTATCAAGAATATCAAGAATATTTGCATATTATATAGCATGTTAAGTGTACATGTGACAATTATATATATACAAATGTCCTCTTACAAAATCTAAGTTGCAACAAATATATCCAACAGATAAATCGGGTATCTAAAAAAATTAATCTTAAACCAGCAACATGCTTCCACTTTATCATTATATATATATATTTCATTCTATTCATGATAGCTTTTCTGTGTTCCGCATTTTCTACTTCAAAAGAAAGCATAACATTAGCAATGAATTAAAGATGCCGAGCATCATACATATGACAGCTAAACTTCGCAAGGAAAACAACCCCAAAATACTATAAAGCTAGGAAAAAGGTTACTAAAATCATTGGTATAATTAATAGGCTTCTTTTAGTCCTTGACAATTGAATTTAATGCCATAATACTGGATGAAGACCATCCTTTTTTATTTTACAACAAACATCCTAAAATTTCAGCCACTGATATCCAAAGTGACAATGTGTTGCAGTACAGTTACTTGTAAAAAAAGAAAATCCAGCATCCTAGACAAAAAAACTATACTGTCACACAGGAATTCCCAACTATTACTCTAAGCTTTGATTTTAAACAGCTTGATCTCTCATTATAATTTCAGCTAACTTGGTTCCTTATTTTGTGTAAAAGAAACCAATCAACCAACCAAAAAACATTTAAATGGAGGGAATAACAAAAATTGGTTTTATTTATGAAACCCAAATGTTCTTTATTATTACACACTTCACAGAACTGTGCTGCTCTGAGTACCAGGCATGGGAGAACAGGTTGGCCTGTAAACAGCCACCAAATTGGTCAGGCAGGATTTCCCCTTAGTGAAGCCATGCTGGCTGTCACCAAGCACCTTGTTGATTTTCATGTGCCTTAGCATACCTTCCAGGAGAATCTGCTCCAAGATTTTGCCAGGCACAGAGGTGAGACTGACTGGTCTGTAGTTCCCCAGGTCATCCATTTTCCCCTTCTTGAAAATGGGGGTTATATCTCTCCTTTTCCAGTTGTCGAGAGCTTCACCTGACTGCCATAATTTTTCAAATATGATGGACAGTGGCTTAGCAACTTCATTCACCAGCTCCTTCAGGACCTGCGGATGGATCTCATCACGACCCATGGACTTGTGCACATTCAGGTTCTTAAGATGGTCGTGAACCATATCCTCTCCTACAGTCGGCCTAAGGTCTTATTTCTCACAGACCCTGTGTCTGCCATCAGCACAATTACATCAGTCCAGTAACTGCTTGCACATTAAACTATAATGGTAAGAGCCAGCCTTCTCTTCCATTAAATATTTCAGAAGAGGCACTAAGACTCCAGTATGCTTACTGAATTCTTTGATGATGCAGCAGCAATCTAGGAGTTCAAAATAGCTGGAGCTCAGAAGAAATCAGTGGTATCGCACAGCATAGTCTGAAAGAATTCTAGGGCAACTCAGTGAAAGCTTTTTAAGGACAGCCTCTTTTTTGGGGAAAAAAAAGAAAAGCAGCTGTGTATGGCCTCATAAAGGATGAGCAAAATGTGAAGGTGAAATAGAGTCCATTTTCTCCATTTTCTTAACATACCATTGTAGACAGTGTGTAAAGTGCATTTCTCTGTGAAAATGAGTTTTGTTTCAGGAAAATTAACTGGTAATAACTGTCAGGCAACTCTAAATACCATCATAGAATCATAGAATAGTTAGGGCTGGAAAGGACCTTAAGATCATCAAGTTCCAACCCCCCTGCCATGGGCAGGGACACCTCACACTAAACCATATCACCCAAAGCCTCATCCAACCTGCTCTTGAACACTGCCAGGGATGGAGCATTCACAGCCTCCCTGGGCAACCTATTCCAGTGCCTCACCACCCTAACAGGAAAGAATTTCTTCCTTATATCCAATCTAAACATCCCCTGTTTAAGTTTGAACCCGTTACCCCTTGTCCCATCACTACAGTCCCTAATGAAGAGTCCCTCTCCAGCATCTGCTGGACAAGCAGAAATATATTTTTTGGGCAGTGTGGTGGGTGCTGTTGTTTGTTTGTTTTTACCATAATCATGAATTCTGTCTTACCATGAATTAATTTGCAATGTTGATGGCATTCAGCCATAATGAAGTAAATCTCAGAAACATGTATGTGATGCAACAAGCAAATTTTAGCAACTTGTTAATATTTCCCTGAATGAGTTTACATAAATACTTGATAGCAATGCTTTATTCTTATTTTTGTTGCATGCAAGCTTAAAAAAAATCCTTTATTTACACAACCAGCTGACCTGCGCAGCTGATACTGACATTTATCTAACACAGAGGCCAGCCTCTGGTTGCCTTTATATAAACTGTGATCATTTCCCAAAATGTCTTCTGAGCTTCACAGCAGACTGTCCTTGCTCATTTTCTCTAAGACTTCTTCCATTGTAAGGGTTTGACGACCGGTGCGTGCATAAATAGTACATAAAAGAAAAGCACTATGGACATTAGAAATGGTACTGTAAGACCACCTTCTCAATCTGCCCACTCGGCTCATAGGTCACAACTGTGCAAAACCTCTGAAAATAAGTTTTTGCTTTTTTTCCTACTATTCAAGAGGCTTTAATTACTTTTATCCTTTATTAGGTAGTCAGGAGACAGCAGATACAGATACTCCCTCCTGCTTAATTAATTTGGTACTAGTATACCTTTACATCTGCAAACCGTTTTTATAAAGTATATTCTAATCAGCTACTTACTTCAGATCTTGCAGAAGGTCCTTGGCATTAAGCATCGTTATTAAAGAGGTCGTGGCTGCTGGAATAATGATTATAGGAGTTCGCGATCCTGTAGACATAACAGAGTTACATTTGGCTGGTTCATGTGTAGGGTTTTTTCATTGTTTTTGTCTGTGTATTTTGGGGTTTTGACCATTTTTTTTTTGTGGTTTTGATCACTGGTATCTCATCCTGTGCCCCTCTCACTTGTTTTTGGTATTTTTTTTTAATTAAAGGAACTTTACATAAAAAAACCCCCACACCTGTTTAACAGATCAAAATCATGGAAAAATAATCATGAAAAACTGTACTAAATATTTTCAAACCTTAAGGTTTTCATTGACCAAAAAAACTGCTGACCTCTATCAGGAGTCTATAAATGTGGGCAGGACCCATATTTAGCGAAACAGAATGTTGTCTGCATCCTACAGCTTGTTTATGTTGTGGTTTGTGGTTCCTAGCAAGAGTAGAGTGAGTACAATTCACATGAAAATGAAAAGGATCATTTAACTAAAATTGACTCACCTTTTTTCTGGTTAGGAGGTGGTCTTGCTTGAGAAACTGAGGGAAAACAAACAGAAAAGACAGCTGAATGATTAATACAAATGACATCATAAGGCAAAACTTAAATGTTTTTAGTTGCAGAAGTGAAGAGAGTCACACTACTGTCATCAGATCATTTTCACAGAAAACAAACAGCTTTTGACCATCTGAAACTCTTACGACAACTGACTATCCTAATTTTACTCTGAAACTAGTCATCCCTCTCTAACCTCCTCAAAAACTCAGGGCACTACAACACTGACAAAAATTGCAGCAACCTTAAAAAACCCCTGCTTGTAGATCTTAAGTTCAGTAGTGCTGAACCAACAGGAAGACTGTTTGACAACAAACTAATCTTTACAGACCTTCAGGTTTTCATTAGTAGTTATTATTGCACATGACATCTGCAGGATTCGGTGATCCATAACACATACAGAACTTGCAGCAATCAAAAGCTGATGGTTGAACTCCCCAGAAAAGCCTCAAACCACCAAGAAAATCAGACAAACAATATAGGCCAGATAAAAACCACAGAATTCTCCCCTACACCCTGCCTATAAAACATTTTCACTTCAGTCTTCCAAGTTGTGACCTCTTCAATACAGGAGATAATTCAGTCCCAAACTGGAACAGCCATCTATTCTTTTTCACTTCAGCACTATTACTGAATAACCTGGCTTCCTCCAAAGAAACATTTTACACTTAAGTTTTCAGGAGTCCTAACTTGAGAAAAGAATTTTCGTGCTGGATAATTATCATCATACCTGTTTATCCTAATTCACACAAAAAGATATCACAAAATGGTGAGTAGTAGGAAGATTGATGCAGACTAACTCCAGTCTCAGCTGCTACTATGCATGACAAATTTAATTAATTGACTTCCAATTTCGTAGCACCAACGTGCTCATGTTTATTTATGACCAACTGTTTCTGAAACTTCCTAGAACAGTATAAATATTCAAAACACATAGTTGCCATTGTTGAAATACTAAGACCATATCCTTAATTATCTTTTCCTGACACTGTCAAATGCACAGATAGAATTGGTAACACTATATTGAACTACATGAACTTTATCTACTCAATGACATTTTTATATTTTTTTTTAATCTAAGTATCTTCTTGATCTAAAGAAGTTCCTGAAATACATGGACAGCATTAGCTGCCCTAAGGAGGAATTGGGGGAGGAGGGGAAAAGCATCTGGAAGAAATTTGACTGCTTTGTACTTTGATACTGCAGAAAGGTGCAGAAAAAAAATCTTAAAATGAAATCACATCTTGGATATTTTTTTCACATCAGTATCTACAACTGCACTGTCCAATTCCAGTAATGCTGCTGATGTGCAAAGCAGCCTTTTTTAAACTGTATTTTTAAAAGTTTCAAACCCAATTTTTCTTTGAATGAAACAGTATATACTTTTTGCAGACTGTACTTCATTATTCCCTCTTTAACTTACAATATAGAGGCAAGATAATGGATTAGACTGGCCTTACTGAAGGGCAGTATCAGTATAACATATATAATTTACATATTTCTGTCAGTTAATGTCCATGAAGTCACAGCTAGCAGTAGGAACCTGTGACAAGTCAGTCAGATTTCTATCTTTGCCACTTCTACCCTTTTCATACTGCTGTCAACTCCCATTTGCATGACTATGCTTAATGGGGCTAGTTAAGATGACAGGCAGCGTGACCTTTCTAGTACAAAAATAACCAAACAGAAGAATCTGTGCACAACAGCATTTAGGTATGCTGAGAGTATGCAATATTAGCATAGATTTTTTGGGAAGAATAATTTTTGCAATACTAAGTCTTAAAATTGAGTCCTACTAATAAATCTCAGGCAACACCCTGAAAGCATTTAGTAGTCCTAACAAGAACATGGAGTACTCCAGCAGTACTTTTATGAAAATTATATCCATTTTAAAAGGCAGCTTTGTTCCCCAAAACGTCCCCTTTCCAATACCTTCATAACATCATCTTGTTCTTAAATAATACCCTTCACTTGAGATTTCCTTCCACCCAACCAGAAACTCTCATAGTATGTTAACTAAGTGCAGATATGCACATAGCTGTTTGGAATCCTCTCGTATACTGTCTGTACTCTTACACCCTTTAAAAAAAGTCTAAGGTTTCTCATCATACTATCTTTAAATCTCAATTTGATATTCAATCTGACATATAAAACCAGCTTGGTAGCTAAAGTTTTCCAACTGGGAATTAAAAAGCCAGCTGAGGATTCTGGCCACGTTATGAATACCTTATGTGCCAGAAAGTGTGAAGAAGTAATGATAATGCATATGGAGAAAGACTTATTTCTGATACAGTAATAACAGAAGTAATAACTTATTTCTTTTTGAGATTAGCTTTTCTATTTAGGCAGTTTCTCACTGGAGTATTAACCAGCTCTTATTATATACTTAAGCTGCCATTTGTGAACTACCAAGCTGACAAACAAGTCTGTCACTTTTTAATTTCACTAGCACATCCTTTCAATGTGCTAATCAGGCAACACATTGAAAAGAATGAACCCAAGTGCCACAATATAACATGAACCAAACAATTATGTGTTATTTCCAATACATATGAAGTTAAAGACCACAAATAAACTATCCCCAATTCAGTCTTCAGCTAACTCAAGTTTTAAATAGCACTTCTTTGAAACTCACACTTATTTGGAATAGAAGCACAAATGACAGTAGAACACCTTACCTGGTCGTGGTACAGGCTGTGCTGCTGGCGTTTGAGTTTTGCGAGCAGAAGCACCTTCCTTTGAAAAGACAGAAGAGGTAATATTAACAACTATATTCAGAACTCTACAGATTCAACTTTAGACTTGGGGATAACAGCAAATCTTATAAGGTTTTATATGTTTACATTTTAACCATCAAATGCCATTCAGAAACTTCTTGTACATTCAAAGAAACCTTTCCTATTTACAGTATTGTTTCATTTTACCTATGGTAACTTTCACCAAGGGTTTGTAATGTCAATATAAGCAACTGGCTGAAGTGATTTCACAACAAGATCTGTTTATACTCTTGTTGGAAAAGAAGGACTAAGAAATTGCAATGCACTCCTCCCAGAGTTTCATGCCCAGAAATAGCCCACTTGTGATAATTAGCTCTGCTCATGCCTTATCCAATTACCTTAATGTAACAAACAAAAGACCTGCACAACTACTTATTCTGGTTAACTCTACAGAAGTCAACACACCAAATAAGAGAACAGTGAAGTCACATGTTGGGTTCCAAAGCAACAGTGAACTCCTGCAAGAACAAATTCTGTTCTCAGCTACTGCTGTGAAACCTCACTGAACAAAACACGTATTACTAACACTGTATGAAAGCTTGCAATATATTCCAGCCATTTCAATTTGCAAGGCTGACAGAAAACCTTTTAACATGAAACCATGAATTTTAGCTGAAAATTACTTAAATGCTATGTGAGGCATATACTACAACTGTGAGACACCTGGAAATGCCAGAGATCCCACTCTGGGAAAAACCTGTTGGAAAGTACTCCAATATAGCATTACCACATTTGTATGTCTGTGCAAAAACAACAGTATGTTTTGTAATTCAAAATAAAAAAGCTAATCAGCAGGGCACTACATCCAAGTAGCATCAAGTTCCACAATTTAAATAACACTTAACAAACTGCTTTTAAGTTTCCACCATGAAAGTTAGAACTTTTTTTATCTCAAGAACTGTAAAGTACAATTAGAAGAGAAGATCACTTGACAAGCGCTTAGAAAACACAAACTTACCCAGAGCCTTTATTCCCTGAGCTTTAGTCAAATCCAGCCATGATTAGTTACTACAGACCAGAGCTGACATTTGGTAAAGCACACAGCTTTTCCAGTTAGCAACCTCCAACCGACAGTACAAGGATTTAACCCTGCACTGCAAGAAACACATTAATACCAAATTCTGCTGTACTCTTTTCTCATTATTAAAATGCTAACAACTATGTAGGGCACTTGAGTCAGTAACTCTTATATTAAGACTTATTTTTTCAGGTGTCCAAGAAAAGGCATTTTTGACAATGTCCTTTGACAATAATTATACAGAAAATGATAAAAATCAAATGCCACACTAAAAGAAGAGAAGCAGGAAAGGCTGACTACTTTTGAGAGAAACCTTTCAACTTAGAAATAGCAGTTTTTTGAAACACTGCCTTTTTACCAAGAAAGTAGAAATAAAACATTTTGCACCTGTTTCTATATAAAAATGTAATTTTCTGTGTGAAAAGACTGTTCCTATGGTGCACTAATTACACTTTTTGAAGAAATACCAAGAATTCCCACAACATTTCCTTAAATTCACAGCACCTCATGAAATGGAAAGAAGAACATCAAGCTGAAGAAATGTCAATTTCTGAGATGCTGTTTCAATTTTCTAAAACCAATCCAATTTACTTGGATACTTAACTATGACTGTCTGCAGTCCCACATGTCATATGCCTCCTTCCCTACAGAATCAGTAATGCAAGTTTTCTGCTTCCCCTTCCACTTACTCTGTGCCTCCAGTGTCTTGAATAGACCCTGCAGGTGCTACAGCAGATGCAATGAAGGGAGGGAGTCAGGAACTGCTTCAGACATTCTAGAGTTTTTGGAAATTCTTGTAAAGAATTGTAAGCAAATTATAACCTAATCCTTGCTCTGGTTTCCACTTGTACTTAGGACTTCTCTCTTCACCAAAATGCCCATAAAGCACCATAACATACATACAATGTAGCCTAACAACATAAGTGTCAAATTGCCTATTTGGGAGTTGCTCATCATTTCCTCTGAAATGTCTTCTCTACAATGATTAATGGGAAACTTAGTGCAGAAGTCTCAAACAAAATGGCTTTGAGAACACTGCAACTGAAACAAACAAACAAACAATCCCAAAACAACAACAGCACATTAAAAGAAAGAAAATTAAAAAAAAACACATGTCAATATCTGATTAACGGTAGGAAATAAATTCATTTAAATGAGTAGATACAAAACACAGCCACCACTTCCATGTGTACGACCTTTTGATTCGTACGAACAATTACTGCAAATCAATAAACGGAGGTCACAGCTTTAAATGTTGTAAATCACTGCTTTAGATGGCAATAACTTTGTGGATGAACCTCTGCTCACAGCTCCTGATAACCTGGCATCTTAGCACAGAAGTTCAATTGTTACCTAACTGAAGGTGTAACATCAATACTTTGTAACTGATCCACAACTTTTCTCCCTTTACGGCTACCAGTGACCTAATCACCACCTCCTATTATGTAAAACTGCAGACAATATAGCAAAAGAAACGGATTTATATTTTGACCCCACATTTCTTAAATGGTTTGTAAGGAGAAAAGTATACTACTGAGATGAGGAAAAAGCAGCACAGAGCAGTGATGGCTGACAAGATACACAAAGTGGAGAAGAAAACCTGCTTTCAGTAGCAAAGTCCTTAGTAGGATAATTTTCCTAACATTTCACATTGTCCTGAAAATAAAAGAGGTTACCTTAAGATAGAACATTAATGCTTTTCAAAAGCATTTGGTAGACTTAAAAGTTTTACCTGTGACAATGCACATATTTATGACACAAGCTCTGTTTACAAAGCAGGTATAACCACAGACAACTATGCTATGATTTCTCACAGGGAAAGAAAGTTGACAGAGTAAACTTCATGACTGGTTCATTCAGCTACACAAGGTGCTGCTGGTGTGCTCTCAATTAGAGCACAGTAAGACACTTCAAATCTTCCAACGAGAAGTTTTTAGTGGAAGAATTACTCTTAAGTAACTAACACACTGAAAATTCAAACTCCAATTAGGGGAGTTTTTGTTTGTGCAGCTGTACCCTAAGCATCAGAAGCAGCAGAAATCACTTTTTAGCTATTTAAAGAACATTCATTTCCTCAAAGTTTCTGAACACTTAACAGTTTCACTCGAAGATGACACACCTAATTCTTATGCATAAGCTGTCTGAGACTGTTAAGGAGTATATGATGAATATTCATAAGCTGAAACTAATTTAGGAAAAAACCTATGTAATTTGAAAAATACAAATCTTTAAGACAACCACTTAACATCGTATTTTAATGAAAAACATACTACTTGGGTTAGATGTACTAACTTACCATACGAAGTTATAGTTTACTTATGATTTACATTAAATACATAAGTATTTAACCATTCAGAAGCAATAATATGACGGAATGAAATCAGAAAAAGATACTAAAGCTTCATACTTTCCTGAATTTAATTGCATCATTCACAGATACACCGCTGTACATACTTTTCAGTTGAGCACATTCAATGTCAGTACTAATGTATTTCATATTAGATATTTACAAAATAACCGGTTTTTACTTTAGTGTGTACTTTCTTCTATTCAGCACTGTCCTACCTAGACACCTACAACCACTGGGTTTGCAAGCCAATGCATGAATAGAAAATAGGTTAGTACATATGAAAAAAGTCCAGACTCCCTCTTACAGTCAAATAAGTAAAACAGCCTCACACCCTGAAGGACAACTGACTTAGACTATTATTGTACACTCTAGTAATTAAGCTTCTGGCACCTTCTTTTCTTCCTTACACCTTCACAGAATTTGTATGTTTGTCTTAAAAAATTCAGACACTACTATGTGCTCTGATAAGTGTTGTGAGTATAAACTATGTTTACAATAACAAGAAGCTTTAGGTCTTAAAGCCTCTTAAATTTGTATATATTGTATACAGCTTACTTGACACCTTCTCTTTCACATGCGTGTTCCTTTTCCCTTCTCTGCTTCTACATTATACAGGCACCTAACAAAAAGTAAACTGTGGTCAATCTATATTTATATTTAGTCACCCAAGAGTGGGTAGGGGGTTTGTTTTTAACAGCTTCTAAAACCTTCTGCAGCATTTGTTGACCTAATTAAGAAATAAATAACTCCTTGTGTTAATTAAAAAAAAAATAATAAAATCTCAAATTACCAATATTCATCTCATACCAAGACCCTACTAGTCTGTACTTTTGACACCTAGTACTTTTCTTAAGTCTAAATGAACATTAAGATCCACAGTTAAGTTACTTACACTCATTTTTCAAACAGAATAAGAAATTGCCTGAACAAAACTCAGGTACTTTTTTGGAAATGAGCCCTCCTGTCTTAAGGAATGAAAAGTGTTATGTTGGTAGAATATTCACTTGGAGGCACATTACACACATACTCAAGTTAATTTACTCTCTTGAAGAGCAAAAAAAACCCAAACAAAACAACCCACAATTAAAAGTTTCTTATTGTGGCTTTGCAAAGTACAAATAACTTGAGGAAAAAACTTATTTCACAGCACACACAATCCTGACTAGTTTCTATGAAGCTATCCATAGCAGTCTAATATTTTGACCTTTAAAAACTGTTAGTAGGAATGGACAGAATTGACAATTGGATGCCATCCTGTGGTTTTAACTTGTGGCAAATTCATTTTTTACCTTGTTCTTTTGTTACAATTTAAATTAAGATGTTTATATAAAAATCTAAAAAAATATCAGGTAGCTTGCATGATCCTGCACAGAAGCAGCATGAGTAAAAAGTAACATTTGATTCTGCAAGAAGCGTTAGCCACTGCTTGTGTTTACAACACTGAGCAACTTTCAGCTTCACCATCCATGACAGAAGATAGTTCAGCAAAGACTGTTCTGTTCATAAGCATGAATGTAGTAAAACTGCACCACAATGATCGCAAATGAACCTCTGAAAATTCCAAAGTCAGCCTTAAGAACTATGGCTGCAT